TGATTTTTTTGGTCAAAATAAATAATATAAATTTTCCAAAATCACTTTATTAACCAGATATTTGCCACTTACTATTTTTTGTATAATTATTTTTGGTTGTTTCAATAGATCTTTATGAAACCTGAAATATATGTTAAAATAGAAAGGACCCATAAACAATATTTACCTAGAGCCAATTCCAAATTTTAAATTGGATCAAGGTGACTTTATTTTCCAACATGGGTTACCTTAACATACATACCAAGTTGCATTAATGTAAATTCAAAGAATCCGAAGATAAAAATTGTTGTGAAAAAAAATACAAAATAACATCTGATTAACAAAGCGATTTAAAAAAAATATTATTATTATTTTTTATTTTTTACCCAAGAAAATACTACATGATTTATTTCCTCACCCTTTTTAGACAACCTGTATAGGCCTATCTATAGATTTATGAAATATAAATTTTAAGCTCTGAAAAAAATATTTGATACGTTTGGATATTTAAAATAAATCCGCATCAAAGCTATAACATATTTAAAAAAAAACATATTTATTATTTTTAGTCAATAAAACAATTAACATATTTTACACGTGTATTAACGCATTTTTATGTAGTTTTTGGTTTATTCTGTCAGGTATATTGAATGAGGCTTTTAATTAAAAATGAAATGTAAAAATATAAGAATAATAAAGCATTAAAGCAATGAGTGTTGGAAAAAATTGTTTGGCTATGGAATAGTCTGACAATTAACATATAACATACTTACATGTTGTCTGATGTATAAATTAGTCCCAATCACAATTTTTACGAACATAAGTTAAATATACTTAACTTGAACTATACTCATTTCCATATTGATTACTTACATTGTATTTATAAATAATCTTTTATTCTAATTTAAATTTAATTTCATGATAAAAACGTTTTTGACGAGAAACATTTTCGTAAATAAACAACAATTGAGGCAACAAGCATTAATTTTTCAGCTGTCTTAACAACGGTATAGAATAAAAATCAGAAATGTTGTTTTAAAGGGAATTTTGTACATAAAGTTAAATTAAAAAATTTTACACAGTGCACCAAAAATAAACTAGACATTGTGTTTGTAAAACCTTCAAAGTCACACCTTTAAATTACAAAGGAAATAAGGTACAAATCAATTATATTACTTTAAAGCTAAGTATTTCCTCTTCCTAATCACAATCGAAGTTTAAGGGTTAATTATTTAAAGAATTTCATCTTCTTATAGGACAGTTGAAAAATGTTGTTTTGCATCTCCCCAAAATAAAATAAAATTATAAAATATACGCCTATATCATGAAGTTAATGTTCCATAATGTTGCAATGCTAAGTAGAGGAGAGTGGAATCGTCTAAGATCTGTCATACTCATAGATTTTTCTCTCACTTAATGACTTAACAAAGTTTCCAGTAAGTGCTAACTACCTCGTTAAAAGTTGTTGAAGTGATCGTTAGCTTTAAGCTTAAACTAACAAAGGAGTAATATTATACATGTGGATGTGTCATGATCTGATGTGCACATAACCTTTAATTTATGACATGGCATAATTTATTATGTGTAGCTTTTTAGTGTGTTTATTTGTTCTTCGTTGCAGGGTAAAACCTAGAATATCATAAAAACAATGAAAATTTGTAGATGTATTTTTAAATGCTGTGTTAGTTGGTTTAGATTCTTTCTGACTGAAAAATGATGTTCAGTGCACATCGTTTTCATTATAATGTAAAAACAATCATAATATTATACAGCAGGCTTGTATATCGGTCTGTATAGAAGTGCTATATATTTATTTTGAGTTTTAATTATAAAAGGTAAAATTTAGAAATTAGCTCGTCCTTAAATCTGTGTTTAGAATTGGTTTGTGTCATATTAAGCGTAATAATTTATATTACTTTCGTGGAGTTTTTTTAGTTACAGTTTTATAACGCATTACGTATACCTGAAGGTATAAGAATGGCAATAGTTCAATCCCAGACAAGAAGTCGAGCTATTTGCTCCAAGACTGGTGATAAACTGGGCCGTTTATCAGCTTAACGGCTCGTAAATGATTTGTATCTTGGGATTATTTTTATAAAAGACTAGACCTATTTGTCTTATTATTAAGAAAAAGACCTGCAAAAAGGTGTATTGTAGTTCGTTAATTTTTTTGGAAAATATTTATGATTAAATATGTGTGTACTACATGTATTTGAAACAATCCCTATCTTCTCAGATTAGTGATGATCACCAAGGAAGACAATTAGTTATACATTTCTTATGTATGTTTTTTATGGACAAAAGTTAAAATTTGAACTAGAAAGAAACGCAGAGTCATGAAAATGTAGTAGTTGAGGGTGTCAGACCATGCAACTACTGTCTGAAAAGAATTGCAAATTTTATTCATCGGGTCACAGCCATTTTTATTATTTTGCCCCAACTATTCTAAGAAAAATCAGAAAGAACCAAATAAAAATGCTATCTTGAAGAATATAGGGAGGTTTTTTTAATCATATCAAGAGGATGGTTATGCATGTAGCTTATAAGTATAACTTTTTTATAGCTCTCTCTTCCTATTTTGGTAAAATATCGGATTATGCTAAAGTATCATGTATCCTAAACTATAAAGATATACTACTAACAAACTAAGACTATTAATAAATATCCGTCAATAACAAACTAGTTCCTCCACATAAAAGTTTAAGGTTCAATTGGCATTAAAAAGACCCTTGACCCTACACTCGCACCCAGGCGAAATAATTTCTGGAAGCTCGCCCAAAAGGAGACGTGGTAAGGGACGGCTCACACCCCTAGACACAAGGAAGGCCATTGAGGAAGGTTTGAAGAAAAATAACTGTTGAGAGGAACGCGGAAGTAAAATATATGAAGAAAAATAACAGTCCATCTTAACATCTATCCTTCCTTGGTAAATGAGTTCAATTGTTGATTTTAATCCGGTTATAACACGAATTTTAAATCACACATTTCCTTATGCTTATTGTTAAGTTAGGCTAGTTCAAACACAATTCAAGTTGTTTTTACAAATTTTAAATTCCCTGACTAGAGTGTCTATGAAAATTTTTGAATTTTTACTATTTATTGAACACCTTAAACCACACAAGATAAAAAGTAAAAACAAAATGATGATTTTAAAAATATTTTAAATATATTATTGATATCTTTTAAGTATATTTTTAATTTTGAATGTGATAAAATTACTTATATCCCTTCTGAAAATGTGAGGTGTGATCATATATTAAGATAACTATTATATCTAATTACATTTTCAAATAGGTAAATATTCATTTTAATTTGTAAATTTTCATGTCAATATCTTCTAAAGATATAGGTAACATGATATGAAATTATGGAGTATTCTTCTCTCTTTCGTAAATTACTTTTACTAAGAACATTTATTGACATTTATGTAATAATGAGAAACATTTTCATCAGAATATAAATAATATATAAACAACTATAATATACAATTTAAAGTTTAAAAGAAAAAGGATCTGAAAGTGTAAGTTACCCTAACTGGCTTCGTTAAGACTTGTACAAGTTGGCCATTACCCTTTGAGTTTCCACAAACTAATTTTACAAGTTCCAAGATGAGACTTTTTATCTTAAATACTAAAGTGTCAGTTTATCATTGAATTTTTTATATCAGTTGTTTAATACAGAAAAAAAATCATAATGAGTTGGTTTTGAATTCCTCACTGTTATTAAATTTCACTTTTCCAACGTGTCTACAACTACACAACGTTTCTGGGAGTGGATAAACCCCTCCTTTTATCAAGTGAAAAGTTTTGTAAATAGTTGTTTTTCAGTAAGCAGTTTTTGTGAATGACCACCTTTTGAGGGCTAATTTAGATTGTAGCATTAGTATTTTTTACTTGATAACGGGAGGAGTTTATCAACCTCTAGAAACGTTGTGTAGTTTTAAACACAAGACACGTTAAAATAATCTATTTAATAATAGTAACGTGTTAAGTAAAGTTATGGAACATTATTAAACACAAGTATAGATAAAACATACTCCATTGGTAAATTTCTCGTAGTTTTGGATCAGCTGACGATAAATTTATTGTTAATTCTACCCAGTGCACTGTAAAGGTCGTGTTTTTGTTTACAATTTGTTTCTTGTTATTTCAGTTACTTTAAACCTCGTTTAGCAAAATACAAAGATGTAATCATACACAATAATTCATCCTCTAGTTATATAACCAATGAGTAAAGCATAAATCATTAAATTAGCCCTAAAATAATAAAAGCTACATTTCGTCGACACTAGTGATCAGTGTCACCAACATAAACTAGACACGAAAAACGCCCTTCAAAATGTATAAATGGATAATAAGTCTACTTGTGTTAGCTATGACAAAACACGTGTTTTAAATAAAGTAATTAAACATTGTTTAAGTACATTTTTAATGAGTAGATGTCATGTGTGAGGGGTTATTAAGGAGGTTTTCACCAAGATTAGTAAGATAAAAGTATCTATAACATGGAATAGTCGTTATCACATTTTAAATGTCTTCTTAGTAGTTTAGAACCCACATTCAGCTCAACATATAAAGAAAACAACCCAAAAATATTGGTGGCTCTAAGGGATTGGGGACCTATCCACAGTAAATGCCATGTGCTAGCTCATTTTTTACTTCCAAAATTTTGTTTTGCTCAGCAGTCATAATAATCTGTCTTGTTTACCATCATTATGTATCTTTTAAACTTTTTAAAATTTTTTATTTTGCTGCAGTCCGCTGCACTTTTCTCAACGTGCTGTTAGAATTCTGATGTAGCTGTTTGAAAAATGTTGTAAGGTAATTTATAGTTCGTATTTATCTTAACTCGCCAATGCTTAAATATCATTCGTTGTTAGGAATATAATTAGGGTAAGACTAAATTTTGTCTGCGATCATATCATTGACTAACCTCTTTAACGCATACAAAAATTAACAGAGTGGTAACATTATTTCAATCTCTCTTCTCTTATGTGGAATGGTCACATACAAAGAGGCACATACGTTTCCAAGTCTTTATTGTTAATTTAGTATCTTGTCAGCATCATTTTCACAAAGTCGGTCGCCAACTGGGTGCCTCCCATCACAGCAGCTCCAAATACTCTAGGTGCTATGAGGTCATCTTCATCTAGAACAGCTCTGGCCGCTTTCAACACTTCTCGGGATTTTACAGACTCGTTTATAATCCTCCAAATTTCCTTAGACTCGACGTCGCTGAACAGTTGAGCATTTTTAAGAGTCTCTATCACCAAAATTTGAGTAAACTTGCCCTCGGCCTCGTTTTTGGAAAGTTTCACTCCATCTCGCGCCAAATTGTTCAATTGGTTGAGTAAGCCTCTCTCGATAGCTATTTTTATCTTGTCATGATCTCCCTAAAAGTTGAAAATAGTAGTTAATTATCTAATAATAACTGCCACTTACTTACGAGTATATTATTTTAATAAACAACGTATACACACTAACTACCTGTATAATATTAGTAAACCATTATGACTCTAAACTTGAGTTTTAGTTTAAACTGGAGAATTAAAAATCAGTTTCCAAGCAAGATTCATTTGCCAATAAATTAGGGTTTTTTATTTATTTATTTGGTTCTTTTAAAGGATGTAATATACACAATTTTTCAATTGTAATAGTCAATGATTGAATTTCAACAGTAATGTTGGACGCGTGATGGTTGTTAATGATTTACAAGAATTGTGTGACATTAATGATAGTTTCGTTGCTTGATAACTGTAACGGAATTGTTTTTGTAGTTAAGATTGCATAATTTGATTGGATGTTAACTGAAATACAAGTTGGTAATATCAGGATAAGTAATATTAAATCATTAAATTAAATGGCTCTATACAAATACTTACACTTCGTAGTTGTTGTGTTGAACTACTGACAGTGAGAAGTAGGATGAAAGCAGAAGCGAATAGGTACTTGTTCATTTTTACCTGAAAATCAAAGCGACAGTCTTCAATTTAACGTGTATTTATCACTAGGTGTGCAGGCTGATTGTAAATATTTTTGGATTTCAAACTAACTAGTATAGGAAGCCTACAATCTAAAAATACAATAATTCAACAAACACCTTTACTAAAATCTAATAACGCAAACTAAAAATGCATATAATCAAAAGTCTTAGTTGTCCTACTTACCAATTGAGGTTGAAACTGATAATGAAACAACAGTTTTTCTTTTTATACCCGACTATTAATTACCGTAGCAATGTGTAAAGTCAAAGAAATAAATTACAATGAACAATAGCTCATTACTATTTTTGTTGGTATCCTAACCTAATCATTGTTCTTAATTAATTATAGATGTTTTAACAGATATTATAATAGCGTTCTAATAATAAAGCATCTCATTCATTGCATTGACTAGTGACACTTAAATAAATATAAAAAATAAATACCATTAATTTGGTTAATTTATCAAATTAATTAATTAATAAGTGCGTTATTGTTATCTGTAATTTTAAATCAAATTCGTTTTGTCAAAAATATTCAAATTTCAAAATATTGAAATTAAGTTTTGTGAAAATATAATGTTAACAAAAATGCATATAAATAATCGAAATGTCATATAACATTGATTTTCACGTTCCATGTTCCACATTCTAGGACACTAGTCTCTTACCCACAACGTTTTTACACTTTGTCAAGGCTAACCCTAGATTGACATGACACTATCACATTGATTAAATATGATAGGAAACATTTTAACTCTGGATCTTGGTGTGTCAAAAAGTTGCTATTGTAGATTTTAGTTTTTAGAATCTAAAAACAATTGGTTGTATTTTAAAAATAAATCTTATTTACTTACTGATGGGGTGTCACAAATCTCAGTAGTTTTTTTTGCCTCGTAGATTGGCTTCCTCCACTTTTCTCTATCCTCCATCCGGATTTCTCCTCTGTATTGGATCACATCTCCGTTGACTGGTCATACCATCTTAATGTAGGCTTACCCAATGGGCCCTTCCTCTCTCCAAAATACATCACTTTAAAAATAAATAGGTTAACTTAAATAAAAAAAGTGACTTTACCCATGGAACTTAATCGAAAATGAAATTGATTATAAAATTGATGGGTAAATTTGCATTTATTTTCGTTATAGGCAATAAATGCTCAATCATTTTTCAAATACAACATTAGACGGGAAATTTTCAATTAGATATAAATAATTTAACCAAATAACGATTTACTATAAAATATGTTATAAATGTTTAAAAGAAGAAGATAGGATAGTATAAGTAACCGTAACTGGTCTCGTTAAAACTTGTAGAAGCTGGTTATTACGGCTTGAGCTTTTCCACCAACTAATTAAACATTTATCCAGTTTTAAGATGGGACTTTTGATCCTATCCTAATAAAGTGGAGGTAATTGTTTTATCTGATAAAATTAGTTATTCAATATAATCGTAGGATGATAAAATAAAAACACAATTTCGTAAACATATTTGGTTATACCGTGATACGAAATATCAAAATTTTTAGTTGTAACATGGGGTAGAATAAGGCAAAGCTAGGCAGGTTTGCCTAGTCGTAAAACTAAAAATCGTGATATTTCAGTCACCTTTTATTCGATATTTTTGAACTTGGAGTGGTTTGATAGTTAAAATGAATTTGAAAGTTTAAACGTTAAATGTAAGCATTCATGACATTATTTTTTTATAAAACCAGTTATTTTCTGGTAATGTAAATTTAACAAATGAGGATGAATGCAATTTTGAAATTTTAAATTGGATCAAGGTAACTTGTTTTTTTACGTGGATCTCTTCTACCTTACAAACATATAAAGTTTCATAAAGATTGGCTTAAACGATCAAAAGATAACATTTTAATCCAAAAACGTACAATATCTGATTTACGAATTGATTTTGGAAAACATTTATTCTAAATTTTCTCTTTATTTTGACCCAGGGAATCATTTCGTAAATTATGCATCCACCGTTTTTCAACACCCTGTATACCCATCAATGGTAATTACGTGAGTACTTGGCACATAAAAACGTCATAAGTAATAAGTAATTAACGTTTTTAATTCGGGTTTTCTCATCTCGGTCTACCAAATACAAAAGTAAATACACAAATAAGAGAGAGACACGTGTGAAAGTAAAATAAATCAGATTAAAAACAAACTAATAAACACGGATGATTACAAAATTATCTTCAAACTATGAGGGTCACTGGCCCAGAGCCCTTATCATACATTAAGCTCGGTTAAGGGAAAGCAAAACTTCAGATTGAGCTCTTCAAAATAACAGCATCACAATAGAAAATCTAAGATCACAAAATATTTGTTCACAAAAGAATTCTTTTCAAATTAACGATAAGAGAACAACACTTATATAATGGAGCCCATTTTTTTTATTCATGCAAATCACTTTGAATAAACAAAGAGATGGTGCATAATAGAACATAATAAAGCATGGAAAGGGTGCATAATAATCCCTTAAACACTATAATCCATGCAACACAAATCTTTACTCCCTGAAGAGCAAAAAGTCTTTTTCACCACACTATGATGTTTTTGGCTGTATTACATACGTTAATTGGTGGCTGAAAGTTACGTTTTGCTGGTCATGCCAGCTGTCGCCAATTTGGGGACCGAGCAGGTTTTTACAGGCCGGGGTCGCAAAATCAGCTGTCCGCTTACTTACTTAAAACATGAATGCGTTTTAAATACACAATCAAAATCCATAGCATTGCAATATAGAATTGTGTTATTGTCACCGTTGCCTAGCAACTATTTATTTATGTTTTTGCTGATTCCTCAAATTATTTCTTCACATAACCTTAAAGTTGTAGTTGTGTTGACTATCAGAGTGCATTATTATAGTGGTGAATAGTGGTAATAGGGTAAAGTGTGGTGAAAAATAGCGTTCTTACCACGGACCGAAATGGTTTTGCAGCTCTCGATCGATTTAAAAACTATCTCGAGCCGGCAAAACCTCATTTTCGGCCCTAGGTACGAAATATACTATTTAGTACCCAGGGAGGTAAAGTCAGCTGTTGTAAACAGTTTGTTAGTTAATGAAGAGCAAAAACCTTTTTGGTACCCAGGGAGGTAAAGTTAGCTGTTGTAAACAGTTTATTAGTTAATGCTGCAATGTGACTACCAATATAGTTCATCACATGGACAAAAAGTGTCTTTTCGACTCTCGCTCGTTTTCCTGAAACCTGAGCTCGGGTCGAAAAGAGTCACTCATAGTGAGGAAAATATTTTATTACCAGTTACAACAATTGTTCAAATCTAGCCTCGTACAAAGTGAAGGTCAGATACAAATACACATTGGTTTTCAAAACTTTATTGTTTATTTAGTACCTTGTCAGCATCATTTTCACAAAGTCGGCTGCTAGCTGTGCAGCTCCCATTAAAGTAGCTCCAACTACTCTAGGAGCTATTTCTTCATCATCTGCTATAAGAGCTCGGGCTGCCTTGAAAACTTTTCGGGATCTGACAGAATCGTTCATAATTTTCCTCATGTCACTTTCTTTGACCTGTTTGAATAAGGGCATATTTTTGATAGCCTCCATTGCCACAATTTGTCTGATGGTACCATTGAAATCCTGTTTGCAAAGTTTTACCCCCATGTTGTCTAGATCACGCAATCCAGCCAGTACACCTCTTTGAAGACCGGATATCAAACCTTGATTTTGACTCTCATTTTGAATCTAAATTTGAAAAGAGACGCGTAAAAACATTAAACAATTTGCACATACCTTATTGTATATTATTTAGATGAAGATGGACCTAATGAAATGTACACAAAAGAAACAAATTATATTTGGATAGTATTAGAGAAACATTAGGTCTCAAAACTCACCCCCATGTTGTCTTGATCACGAAATCCAGCCAGTGTACCTCCTTGAAGACCGGACATCAAACCTCCATTTTGACTCTCATTTCGAACCTAAATTTGAAAAGAGACGCGTAAAAACATTCAATAATTTGCACATACTTATTGTATATTATTTAGATGAAGATGGACCTAATGAAATGTACACAAAAGAAACAAATTATATTTGGATAGTATTATAGAAACATTAGGTCTCAAAACTTTAGGTTTTATTTTAAAATAAAGACTTAAAATATCAGTCTATAAACTTCACAAACATATATTGAGATGGTTACTCGTCATTTCCAAGTAAATATCAGCTTATTTCCTTATTGAGACCATCTATCCATTCCTACTTCATGATGGATATATATTGCAGAAATTAGCCAATTTCTTTGATAAAACGGGATCTTTCGAATTTCTTTAGGCAGATACTTGCAAATATAACTAAAACTAAAACACTACTCATACAGACACACCATTACGGGTATAGAAACTAAAATTATTTTTTCCCTCTAACCTGTGGCTTTATATAATAACACAAATACTACCTCAGGAATTTCAATATTATTAACAACGCATTGTCTGTTATAGCAAAAGTTTTTAAGTAATTCAATTCTATATGTTTAATCTTTTTCTTTATAATTATTCTTCATAATTTATAAATCAAATTCAGTTACTAAGGAAAGAAGTTTTTGAATCCGAAATATTTTTTTTTCAAGTTGTTCTTAAAAAGTAGTGAATAAAATTCCTTAGATTTTAAGTTTGTCATAAATTTATTATTCTTTCTCATTAAAACAGACAATACTTGCGTTGTTTGTTACGTTGGAATTGTGTTTTTTTAATTCTATATAAATTTTGGGTTATATGAATATTGGTTTTTGCCCGATAAATAGTTTTTCCCTATTTTAATGTAGGTTCGCATATTTCAAATGATCGTTTACTCAAATATCCCGACTCATTGCTATTTGAAGGGTGGCTAAATTAAAAGATTTAGTTAAGTAGTTATGGATACAAAATACTTACTTTTCGTCGTTGTTGTGTTGAACTATGCACAGTGAGAAGAAGGATCAACCCGGCAGTTAATAGTGAAATGTTCATATTGTTTTTCCGAAGGAATATCTAGCAGACAGTGTCAGTTTCTTTTCCCTAAAAGAAATAAATATAGTTGATTAAAAAAAAACCTCCGGATCACTCCATTACAAATGTAAACTATTTTGGTTAATAACAGGATTTGGACCCGGGTTCATGTACCCTACGCTGAAAGCTAGTTCAGTCACGGTCGGCTTTTCGTATTAATTAAGAATGAAATAGAGGTCGTCCAGAGGTCAAAAACTCAACAAAAAATATGTAATCTACAGACTTCTCTATTGTCATCCAATGAAGAAAATAAAACATGCGATTGGAATTTCATCGATTTGTTTTGATTTTGTTAATATTTCGTTATTATTTCGTCACCAGCATGGCTACCCATAATGCCCATGTTAGTGTTTTAAATATTGGAATTAGTATTTTGTGCTTTTTTTGCCTATTTTAATTTAAAAAGGGATTCTGCACATCTACAGGAAACTGTCTTTCTTTCAGTGTGTGGAGATTTTCCCTACGTTGCAAATGAGCTGATAAAAAAGGTTTTAAAGAAACATGCTTGCCTATTAATATATAGATAACTCAATATGTTGCACAGATATGCCTCCATTCTCAATATTAAGTACCTAGAGCCCAACATCTCAATAATGAATTTACATTAACAAGAATACTTTAACATATTTACATGCAATATAACGTATTACACATAAAAGAGTAAAAAAATGCCTGGATTTTAATTTAGCCAATGAAGTCAAGTTATTTTAGGTAAAAATACCCCTCTACCTGGAACTACTCCCTAAGTGGTAAAACTTTGCACATAACATATCGAAAATCAACATACGTGCATGCTGTGCATTTTCCAAGATGGCGGCCAATTTTCACAAAAACACAATTTATCTCTCTCCCTGTAGCAGCAAACCTAGGTACTCATTAAACCTAATGTTATTTAATAGATTTAATTGAAAATTAAATCAGGCAAATTGAATTCACTTAAACTGCAGGTTTGCTGTGGCGGGAGTATTTTACAATAGCTATGTATATTTTTCATGTTACGTTTAAATTCTAAACATTGCTGTTAAGGGATTTTTCCCGCAGCAGGGTTACTAAAATGTAATAATTTGTTGGTTGGAAAAATTAAACTGACAGATATTAAACAAAATTAATAAAAACTGATATCAATAGCTTTTAGAGATAGGGCAAATATGGTGCGGACTAAAAGATGCATTTTTGTGTCTTCTTTAACTTTTTTGTGAACTAGATTTCTGAATTTCCAACGGTTTGTGAAATATGGGCAAAAAAGTACAAATCGGCCACCATTTTCCAAGATGGCGGCCGTAGCACAGCATGCTCGAATGTTGATGTTTAATACCTTGTTACTCAGTACTAGTACTACACATGTGCAAGGTTTCGCCCCTTAGGGAAATTTTCCACCTAAAACCCTAACATGAATGGACTAATATACGAAAACCTTCAATCTTAGACGAAAAAATAATAAACTACACTTTCACTAATTACTAGTTATACAAACTTTAAATGCAAACAGTTGAACCTAAATTTTAGTCGTGTTACTTACCAATTATTTAAGTGATAAAAAACCCATAATCTTTTCATTTTATAGGTACCCGACTATTAACTATCACAGCATAATGTAATTAGTATAATATATGAATTATAATGAACAATAGATCGTTAATATGTGTTAGCTGTTTGTATCTTAACCTTTTCGATGTTATTATACAATTATTTTTGTGAATTTTTAATGCATTAATCATTGCGTACCAATAAGAAAAGATATTAGATATAGCATTTGAACACAATAAAAATGTACTATAAAATATGTTATAAATGTTTAAAAGAAGAAGATAGGAAAGTATAAGCAACCATAACTGGTCTCGTTAAAACTTGTAGAAGCTGGTTATAACCGCTTGAGCTTCCACCAACTACTTTAACATTTATCCAGTTTTAAGATGCGACTTTTGATCCTATCCTAATAAAGTGAAGGTAATTATTTTAATTTTATAAAATTAGTTATTCAATAAAATCGTGGGATACTAAAATGAAAACAAAATTTTATAAACTTATTTGGTTATACCATGATACGAAATATCACAATTTTTAGTTGTAACATGGGGTAGAATAAGGCAAAGCTAGGCAGGTTTGCCTAGTCGTAAAACTAAAAATCGTGATATTTCAGTCACCTTTTATTCGATATTTTTGAACTTGGAGTGGTTTGATAGTTAAAATGAATTTGAAAGTTTAATTTTTAAATATAAGCATTCATGACATAATTTTTTATAATACCAGGTATTTTTCGGTAATGTAAATTTAACAAATGAGGATGAATGCAATTTTGAAATTTTAAATTGGATCAAGGTAACTTGTTTTTTCACTTGGATCTCTTCTACCTTACAAACATATAAAGTTTCATAAAGATTGGCTTAAACGATCGAAAGATAACATTTTAATCAAAAAACGTACAATATCTGATTTACGAATTGATTTTGGAAAAACGTGTATTCAAAATGTTCTCTTTATTTTGACCCAGGGAATCATTTTGTAAATTATGCATCCACCGTTTTTCAACACCCTGTATACCCATCAATGGTAATTACGTGTGTACTTGGCAAATAAAAACGTCATAAATTATAAGTATTTAACGTTTTTAATTCGGGTTTTCTCATCTCGGTCTACCAAATACAAAAGTAAATACACAAATAAGAGAGAGACACGTGTGAAAGTAAAATAAATCAGATTAAAAACAAACTAATAAACACGGATGATTACAAAATTATCTTCAAACTATGAGGGTCACTGGCCCAGAGCCCTTATCATACATTAAGCTCGGTTAAGGGAAAGCAAAACTTCAGATTGAGCTCTTCAAAATAACAGCATCACAATAGAAAATCTAAGATCACAAAATATCTGTTCACAAAAGAATTCTTTTCAAATTAACGATAAGAGAACAACACTTATATCATGGAGCCCATTTTTGTTTATTCATGCAAATCACTTTGTATAAACAAAGAGATGGTGCATAATAGAACATAATAAAGCATGGAAAGGGTGCATAATAATCCCTTAAACACTATAAACCATGCAACACAAATCTTTACTCCCTGAAGAGCAAAAAGTCTTTTTCACCACACTATGATGTTTTTGGCTGTATTACATACGTTAATTGGTGGCTGAAAGTTACGTTTTGCTGGTCATGCCAGCTGTCGCCAATTTGGGGACCGAGCAGGTTTTTACAGGCCGGGGTCACAAAATCAGCTGTCCGCTTACTTACTTAAAACATGAATGCGTTTTAAATACACAATCAAAATCCATAGCATTGCAATATAGAATTGTGTTATTGTCACCGTTGCCTAGCAACTATTTATTTATGTTTTTGCTGATTCCTCAAATTATTTCTTCACATAACCTTAAAGTTGTAGTTGTGTTGACTATCAGAGTGCATTATTATAGTGGTGAATAGTGGTAATAGGGTAAAGTGTGGTGAAAAATAGCGTTCGTACCACGGACCGAAATGGTTTTGCAGCTCTCGATCGATTTAAGTTCTCGACTTCGTCTCGAACTTAAAAACTATCTCGAGCCGGCAAAACCTCATTTTCGGCCCTAGTTACGAAATATACTATTTCGTACCCAGGGAGGTAAAGTCAGCTGTTGTAAACAGTTTGTTAGTTAATGAAGAGCAAAAAATCTTTTTGGTACCCAGGGAGGTAAAGTCAAGCTGTTGTAAACAGTTTATTAGTTAATGCTGCAATGTGACTACCAATATAGTTCATCACACTGATAAAAAGTGTCTTTTCGACTCTCGCTCGTTTTCCTGAAACCTGAGCGCGGGTCGAAAAGAGTCACTCATAGTGAGGAAAATATTTTATTACCAGTTAGAACGATTGTTCTTATCTAGACTCGTACAAAGTGAAGGTCAGATACAAATACACATTGGTTTTCAAAACTTTTTTCTTTATTTAGTACCTTGTCAGCATCATTTTCACAAAGTCCGCTGCTAGTTGTGCAGCTCCCATTAAAGTAGCTCCAACTACTCTAGGAGCTATTTCTTCATCATCTGCTATAAGAGCTCGGGCTGCCTTGAAAACTTTTCGGGATCTGACAGAATCGTTCATAATTTTTCTCATATCACTTTCTTTGACCTGTTTGAATAAGGGCATATTTTTGATAGCCTCCATTGCCACAATTTGTCTGATGGTTCCATTGAAATCCTGTTTGCAAAGTTTTACCCCCATGTTGTCTAGATCACGCAATCCAGCCAGTACACCTCTTTGAAGACCGGATATCAAACCTTGATTTTGACTCTCATTTTGAATCTAAATTTGAAAAAAAAGCGTAAAAACATTAAACAATTTGCACATACCTTATTGTATATTATTTAGATGAAGATGGACCTAATGAAATGTACACAAAAGAAACAAATTATATTTGGATAGTATTAGAGAAACATTAGGTCTCAAAACTCACCCCCATGTTGTCTTGATCACGAAATCCAGCCAGTGTACCTCCTTGAAGACCGGACATCAAACCTCCATTTTGACTCTCATTTCGAACCTAAATTTGAAAAGAGACGCGTAAAAACATTCAATAATTTGCACATACCTTATTGTATATTATTTAGATGAAGATGGACCTAATGAAATGTACACAAAAGAAACAAATTATATTTGGATAGTATTATAGAAACATTAGGTCTCAAAACTTTAGGTTTTATTTTAAAATAAAGACTTAAAATATCAGTCTATAAACTTCACAAACATATATTGAGATGGTTACTCGTCATTTCCAAGTAAATATCAGCTTATTTCCTTATTGAGACCATCTATCCATTCCTACTTCATGATGGATATATATTGCAGAAATTAGCCAATTTCTTTGATAAAACGGAATCTTTCGAATTTCTTTAGGCAGATACTTGCAAATATAACTAAAACTAAAACACTACTCATACAGACACACCATTACGGGTATAGAAACTAAAATTATTTTTTCCCTCTAACCTGTGGCTTTATATAATAACACAAATACTACCTCAGGAATTTCAATATTATTAACAACGCATTGTCTGTTATAGCAAAAGTTTTTAAGTAATTCAATTCTATATGTTTAATCTTTTTCTTTATAATTATTCTTCATAATTTATAAATCAAATTCAGTTACTAAGGAAAGAAGTTTTTGAATCCGAAATATTTTTTTTTTCAAGTTGTTCTTAAAAAGTAGTGAATAAAATTCCTTAGATTTTAAGTTTGTCATAAATTCATTATTCTTTCTCATTAAAACAGACAATACTTGCGTTGTTTGTTACGTTGGAATTGTGTTTTTTTAATTCTATATAAATTTTGGGTTATATGAATATTGGTTTTTGCCCGATAAATAGTTTTTCCCTATTTTAATGTAGGTTCGCATATTTCAAATGATCGTTTACTCAAATATCCCGACTCATTGCTATTTGAAGGGTGGCTAAATTAAAAGATTTAGTTAAGTAGTTATGGATACAAAATACTTACTTTTCGTCGTTGTTGTGTTGAACTATGCACAGTGAGAAGAAGGATCAACCCGGCAGTTAATAGTGAAATGTTCATATTGTTTTTCCGAAAGAATATCTAGCAGACAGTGTCAGTTTCTTTTCCCTAAAAGAAATAAATATAGTTGATTAAAAAAAAACCTCCGGATCACTCCATTACAAATGTAAACTATTTTGGTTAATAACAGGATTTGGACCCGGGTTCATGTACCCTACGCTGAAAGCTAGTTCAGTCACGGTCGGATTTTCGTATTAATTACGAATGAAATAGAGGTCGTCCAGAGGTCAAAAACTCAACAAGAAATATGTAATCTACAGACTTCTCTATTGTCACCCAATGAAGAAAATAAAACATGCGATGGAATTTCTTCCATTTGTTCTGATTTTGTTAATATTTCGTTATTATTTCGTCACCAGCATGGCAACCCATAAGGCCCATGTTAGTTTTTTTAAATATTGGAATTAGTATTATGTGCCTTTTTTGCCTATTTTAATTTAAAAAGGAATTCTGCACATCTACAGGAAACTGTCTTTCTTTCATTGTGTGGAGATTTTCCCTACGGTGCACACGAGCTGATAAAAAAGTTTTAGAGAAACATGCTTGCATATTAATATATAAATAACTCAATATGTTGCACAGATATGCCTCCATTCTCAATATTAAGTACCTAGAGCCCAACATCTCAATAATGAATTTACATTAACAAGAATACTTTAACATATTTACATGCAATATAACTTATAACACATAAAAGAGTAAAAAAATTCCTGGATTTTAATATAGCCAATGAAGTCAAGTTATTTTAGGTAAAAATACCCCACTACCTGGAACTAAGTGGTAAAACTTTGCACATAACATATCGAAAATCAACATACGTGCATGCTTTGCATTTTCCAAGATGGCGGCCAATTTTCACAAAAAAAAACAATTTATCTCTCTCCCTGTAGCAGCAAACCTAGGTACTCATTAAACCTAATGTTATTTAATAGATT